TTAACTCTTTTTGCACACAGTAGCACAAATAAGAATGGAATTAAATGGTAGAGCAGTGTCTTTATCAGATTTCCTGTCCAGGAGACACAATAGCTGATACCAACAATAAAAGAAAAAAAGTTCAATTGAGCTCACAGTTTCAGGAGAGTCAGTCCTGCTGGCAGGCTCCAACAGAAGCAGCATGGTGGGTAGAAGGACGTGGCGGAGCAAAACTGCACAGCTGTTGGTGGCCAGGAAGCAGGTCAGGGGAGCAGTGCCAGAGAGGAACGAGAGGGGATCAGATACAGTGACTCTCCCAGACACAAATTTGGCACATTGGGATTAATGGTCTCGGGCAGCACCAATGTACCACCTGTCTCACTGTAACTTGCTGCATGTCCCTACAACAACTAGACAACTGCATTTTACAGTGCAATCTGCTCATCTTGCTCCATACCTTTTTGCCTCTTATCTCTGAGCTCTTTATGGAATTTAGTTGAGAAATTGGACAGGTATTTCTCACCCCAACATTTTGCTAGTACAAGTATTATAAGTTGTCAGAGAAAGTTAACCAGCCAGAAATACATGTGACATATGAAGTTTAAATTTTCTTAGACAATTAAAGTCATGTAATTGAGATTTCCAGGAAGGTGGTAGAATGGTGACCAGCAGAGAAACAGCTTCTCTGACACTTGGAATCCAGATGCTGGAATATAGCAATGTAAGCAAGAGAATGAGAAGGGAAGGGGTTTCTGTGACCCAGGAAGGAGCTGAAGCAAGAATTAGAGCCCCTGGGGAGAGGGAAGAGAGGTATCACAAACAGGAGTAGGGCAGTGGCAAGCAGCACTGTGAACCTCAAGCCGCTGTGTGGGAGGGGTGGCTCGAACCTGTGGAGGTATATTGACTATTGGCAACCCCAAAGGTCTCCACAGTAAAGGGCACGAGTGAAACAGAAGTGGATACTGTGGGCTGCAGTGGCTGGTGAGTCATTGAGTTCAGACACCCCCCAGCAGAGAGTGATTAGCCAGTAGCCAGGTTAGAAAAGGGTCACCTAAAGTCAGAGCTCAGAACAGCTGCAGGTTGGCTCCATCTAGTGGCTCCAAGTGTCAAGGTGATGTGCAGCTGAGTCCAAGCTGGCAGGAGGTCAGGCAGTCAAGGTGGAGTTGACAGGAGTCACTTGGAGTGTTGCAGGCTGAAAAATTAGGGTTCCAGCCTCACAGCCAGAAACCAGAAGCAGCCTGAACTTCAGTGGAACTAAAGGCCCAGGTTTCCTGGGGTTATCCACCACAGTGCCATAATTCCAGAGCTGGCTTCCTGGGATCAGTAGACACAGATCTGGCCCTTCTGTCAACCAGTGACAGCAGAGACACACCCTCAGGTAGACATTTTTACCCCTACATTTCTTCCTTTCTTTGTTTCTTTGACTTTTTTCATTTTAATTTTCAGTTTTTGTCTTGTTTTTTTTTTTTAATGTATGTGCAAACATTGTCTCGGGTTTGTTTTGTTCTGTTCATACGGCTAAAGGTGGCAAATTAATAGTCACCACAGGCTATCATTTTCTAGGACGTGTTTGATGCTGTTGTTTTTCCTGATTGTACTGCTTTAGCCAAGGTGACATAATTTTTCTAATTAGGTGTTTTTTCTTGTATGCCAAGATTGATACTGCCTGACAATCACAAACAATACTATAGGCCAGTGCCAAAGAT